GAAATGTTCATGATCATTAGCAATTGGGGAGATGCAAATCAAAACAACAATGAGATATCATCTTACCCCAGAACTAATTCAAGACAGAAAATGACAAATGTCAGTGAGGATGTGGCGAGATTGAAACTCTCATACACTGCTGGTGGAACTGTCAAATGATACAACTACCGTGGAAAGAAGCATGACAATTCCTTAAAAAGTTGGAATTAGACATACCATTTGATCCAGCAATCCCATTACTAGCTATGTATCCTAAAGAAGTGAGAGCCAGGATAAGAACAGATATATGCACACCCATGCTCATTGTACTACTATTTACAATAGCAAAAATATGGAAACAACCTTTAAGTCCATCAACAGAAGAATGGATAGCCAATCTATGGCACATACACACAATGGAATACTATGCAACCCTAAAGAATAATGTAGAATCTGCAAGACACTGCATAACGTGGATGAACTTGCAGGACGTTATGCTGAGTGAAATAAGTCAATCACAGAAGGACAAATACTGTATTAGTTCATTATTGTAAAAAGTCAAGGAAGGTTTTTTTTTTTAATTTAATTTTTTTTTTATTGTGATTTGAGTGAAGGTTTACAGAGCAAATTCACTTTCCATACAGTGGTTCACTTATACTTTGTCTCATGACATTGACCACAGTTTACCACAATGCAACAGCTCCCCTCCCACTTCCTCCCCATAGTTACCTCTTCCCTGTGTGCATCCCTCCATGTACTCCTGCCCCCTGAGCTGTCTCCCTGTGCATAACCAGCCCTTCTTTCTCCCATGATTGTTCTCTCCAAGGAGTGTATCTACTTGAGGTAAATGTTCAACTCATATGCCTGTCTTTTGTTTGGCTGGAAACCACAGGTGTGGGTTCAATTCCAGACCTGAAGGGCAGCTAGGGGCCATAGTCTCAGTGGTTCCACCAGGCTCTATTGGACCAGCAAACCTGGTCCCCCCCCCCCCTTATTTTTTTTCTCCAAATGACTTTGAGTTTTGTTCCACATTGTTCTCCCTCTCTATCAAGGATCTCCTACACAGATCACCAAGGAAGGGTTTTTATATGGAAGGAAACTTTCTGTGTTGGTTGTATGGCCAGTAACTGCAACTGCCCACCTCCAAATGGGTCTCAGGCCCCATCTCCTTAAGCTGTACTTGTAAGAAACTGCAAGCCACTTTCCTTCTCCCTCCCGTCACATATTAACCACCTTCCCCTTGTCTGGTATTAACCCATCCTTAGAATAGCCTCAGGCTATTAAGCTTCCTAACTGGCAGCATTTTTTCAAAGCAAACATAGATGGTCCCATAAAGTGCTGCCTGGAACACCCTCCTGAGTGGCCAGGTGCCATTGAGTCTGAAACCAGTCATGTAGCCTTCCGGTCCCAGTCACATAGACCCTGTGCCTAATTCCTCAGACTCAGGTATAAATATTACCCCCCAAAATGGGCAAGTTTAGTGGACATTTTGGATCCATCCCAGCTGGCTGCTGCTGGAGACCAACTGCTAGCAAGTTTGTAAGCCTACTTCTCTCTGATTTTTTGTCTTGTAAATCTCTTCTCTCCCTGTCCTCTTTTCTCCTATTCTAATTAAAGCTCATGTCATTAGCTATGCCTCCAGGTAAATTCTTTGGTTTCTCTGAACCTATTCAAGGGAGAGCTCCAAACTCCCTGGGGAATTCAAATGGTGGGAGGGAAGGGGTGGAACACTGAAAAAATAAATTATAATGATAAAACAATAATAACAAACAACAAAAAAAAGACTATATTTGTGAGCAACTCTCTGGTCTTTCTGAGACGGGGTAAACAAGCTGAGCACTGTGGAGGGCGACAGTCAGGTGAGTTTTTGTTTGCTGTTCAGATGCCATTTGTATTGGTGGCTTCCATGGGAGCTGCAGGAAGTTCTCAATTTCTGTGCAATGTGGAGGGAGCAGCATAGAGAGTAGAAGTGGGATAGGCTG